AAAGAGACAGAGAGAGAGAGAAGAGGGGAGGAGTTGATCTTGCGAGAACTTCCGGCGGGTGAGAATAGCCACTTTCAAATTTTATATCTATGATAATTGTCTAAAGTAGCTTTATTCATTTATTTAGTTCGTCAATTTGCTTTTAAAATAATGATTCTGTTTCTTTATACGAACAAAATGATTTTTGTGTCTAAAATCCCTGTCTAGTCATATAGTATAGCTTGCTGTTTAACTTATCTCTTGTTGTTATAATTTTTGATAAATTTAACGATATTTCGCGACTTCAGTGCTTTCTTGTCGTATTTCCATTTTTTGTAAACCGTGAAAATGTAACGTCTTCTTATGCTTACTCTTTGTTATGAACTCGCGTCATTTGTGGTGAACACATTTCTTCTAGCTCCTAACATAATTCTAAATTGGAGGAATTTGGGCTGTTTATGTCTGAAAACCTATCGTCTGTATCAATGAAAGAGGCACGAAGTGATGAAGTTCTGGGAATTTTTTCCAAAGACAAACAGATGAGAGAGGCATATTTGCAAATCTGCGCCGACAAATTATTAGTAATAGACTGGCGGCGTGACGCGGGAGAATAACCACTTGCTTTTCAAAAACATTTCACACCTAAACTGCAAAACATCAAATTATTGGGAAATTAAATCAGGATGCCCCTTTATAACCCCACAGATTTTTTAACACCTCCCCCCCCTCGACTGTTCTAAAGCGCGGAAAGTACTGCGCGATTAGGCTAAGTGATACATATAGTTTGATTAAAAACCATTTTATAGTTTGATTAAAAACCATCAAATGTAAAAAAAAAACCTACTGATTTGCGATGGAAATGAAGATATATATATATAGTAGAAAATGGACTCCCAGTAGGTAAGTGTGAGACGGGAGGAAAAGTAAAAGAATACCAATATAATGAGATATCTTTCGACTTAAAATTTTTACTACTCTGTCCATCCCTAGAACTAACTGTTTACTGACTTTAAACTGAGATGAAAGGACTCTATGACTATATCTAGTAAATTATTATTATTGAATTTGAATGGAATGGTGGGCGGAGTATAATTGTGGGATTGTTTCAATTATTTTATCAGTCAGCACAGTTGACTGGTTAAGTATGTATTTACTTTACCCAACCCAAAACCAGCCCTATTAACTATTTTATACTCTTTCAGAGTCTCTTTCACACATCTCCAATTAGTTGGAAACTAACTTTAAACTTTTACATTTATATATCACCCCCCCCAGGGGGAAAAAAGATGTGATGGAGAAATAAGATTAAGAAGTAGCTGGCATTCTCATTCTGAAAAAGGTACTATGATATATGTGTACTCAATACCATTTGAGGCCCTGTTCTGAAAAAAACCCAATTTTTACTTTCACTCTCGCTTGGCTTATCTTTATTTTATCTCGTCTTGTCCTGTCTGTGTTGTGACACTGTGTACTGTGTTGTTATTTTGCCGCGTCCCCACTGTGTCAGTGTCCCCTTTGACCTGTATTTGTGCGTGGTTGGCAGGTGTTCTGATGTGGTTTGCTTCTTCTTTCCTATCAAACATCTATCGTCTTTATCTCCCCTCCTTCTTTTTTGTGTTTGTTACTCTCTTGTAACACCTCTAATCTTCGGCACTTATATGACCTTATAGTGTTGCAAGCGCCACAAAACTCTTACTTACTAAAACTAAACTGATCTGTTTTTCGGCAGTGAGTCGACTGACGGTGTTGCTGGCCAGGTACCAAGAGGCATACCCTGATTTTGTGCTACAAGAGTATGGTCTGGAAGAGGTGAGTCAACAGGTGACAGATCAACTCAACGATCTCATTGTGTCTGTCTCTGTGTCTGTGTGATTGTGACTGACTGTCTGTGTGATTGTGTGTCTGTCTGTGTGATTGTTTGTGTGTGTGTGTGACTGTCTGTCTGTCTGTGTGATTGTTTATGTGTGTGTCTGTGTGATTGTGTCTGTCTGTTGGACTATTTCAATGGGTTGTTTCTGTCACATCTCAGCATCCTTTTTAAGACCCAAGATTTACACGATTGAAACGAATATCAAGCTATTTAAGTCATTTTGGAAACTACTGGAAACTTTTACAAACCTTTGTCTGTGTTTGTCCTGTGATCCTTGAGGAAGCTGCTGAAATGTGTCGTCATTTGTTGAAATGTGTCGTCATTTGTTGAAATGTGTAGTTTGTTGAAATGTGTCATTTGTTCAATGTGCCCTTTGTTGAAATGTGTCGTTTCTCTGATTCACAGGAGAAAAGCAGGGTCTCCCTCCCATGGATCACATGTTGAAATGTGTCATTTGTTCAATGTGCCCTTTGTTGAAATGTGTCGTTTCTCTGATTCACAGGAGAAAAGCAGGGATTCCCACCCATGGATCACAGAGAGCAAGTAAGTAAACGTATTTGCTAGTGGTAGTGAATAGTAAATATGGATAAATAGCATTTGTATAGTGCTTCTTCAGTGGCGTCCAAAAGAAACTTGAAAATGTAATTCCTCTATAATCGTGTCAAAGCCTTGCCCTACCCACTCATGCAGCATACCAATTCAAAGCTGAATAAATTCTGCATCATCCGACACTTTAATATTTCATCTATGTTCAGAGGTGCGGCTAATGAAGTCTGTGGTGACACAGCCTTAGGCTCTTTCTTCAGCTGTTGCCATGACAACTAACAGCTGTTGCCAAGACAACAAGCAGCTTGCTGGATTTGTTCAAATGTGCATGATGATGTGTGGTAGTTTTAAATTGACACACAAACATGATGATGTGTGATAGTTTTAGGGTGACACACAAACATGATGATGTGTGATAGACACAGTGTGACTTTACTTTTGATGATTAATGCCAAAGTTTTCAGTTGGTTCTCTACTATTTTGTTGCAAATGTTGAAAGGATAGTGTGAGTGGTTGGCGGGTACTCTGTGTGGTTTGTTCCTTCTTTCCTACCAAATGTCTATCATTCTTATTTCCCCTCCTTCTTTTTTGTGTTTATTACTCACTTGTAACACATCTAATTTTCTGCACTTCTCATATGACCTTGTGTTGCAAGTGCCGTTAAAAACACATACTAAAACATAAATGGAAAGACAGTAGGGGCAGTAGGAACCTTTGACTGAAGGTGTCTGTCTCTTGTAACTTGAGGGAATATTGGATCACAAGTGTGTCTGTGTCTCCCCTTCCACTCAACCCCCCCCCCCCTTCCTCCTCAGGGAACTGTCCCCACTACTACGTGAGTACGATGCGACGATCTACGGACTCCAGGAGCAGTTGGGAAACCTCCAGGTAACCTTGTCCTGTCTTGTCTTGTCCTGTCTTATCTTGCCTTATCCTGTCTTGTCTTATCTTGTCTTATCCTGTCTTGCCTTGTCTTGTCCTGTCTTATCCTGCTTATTGTATATTGTATATTTTTAGTGAACACATTTTCAACCTCACTGCGAGACTGTTTTTCTCGTATAACATTTTACACATATGCATTTATATTATATGTATAATACTTTGTTTTACGTACACACTTGTCGATTCATTTTTAAGATGTGATGTCTTTTTCATTGTAATGCGCATTGAGCATCTTTTAGGAAATGGAAATGGGCAGTATAAATGCTATTTATTATTATTATTATTTTTATTGCTTGTTTCTGTTTTCTATGTGTATTCAGTGTTATTGTGTTGAACGAAATAGTTTGCCTGACTGTGCTGGGCATCGTCTCAGTTATCCAAGCATTGTTTCAGTTATCTGAGAAATTTTTTAGTTGTCCAGCCCACTTTGACAAAAGTTTGGCGACCCCTGTTCTATGTCATCAGTTGAAATATTTTTTGTCCCCCTGTGGAGAAAGAATTATAGGACTTGTTCTCAAAAGGTCTGATCCTACTTTCATTCCAAAAGATCAATTTTTGGAAAGTGGAGCATAGCCCACCCCCCACCCCCCACCCTGGCAGTGCTACTGACTGAAGTTGTCTTTAGGCCATTCCCAAAGGGGGGATATTAACATGTTCTCATGCATAGTAGAATGTGTAAATGGGCTGATTTATCAATGTCATGCTCACACTGTGCCGGAATAACATAGGGGGAACTGCTGTTTTTTATTCCTCATCCTTACTATCGTCATTTTTCCTCTTCTTCTTTTGTATGTTTTTCACTCTCTTGTAAACTGCTATTTCTGGGGTGCCTTGATGGTTGAAGCAGACTTTGTGCTGTTGGGGCTAAAGGGGTGAGCAGTGTAAGCCTGATTCCCAATTTGGACTTCTCTGTTGACATCCACCCCTTGGCGCTCATAAGATCTTATGCAGTTGCGAGCGCCGTAAAATCTTATTAAAACAAACAAGAGCATAGCCCTTTCACAATGTTATTCTTTTGTGTTCACAGGAAGAGCTCATGACCTTGAGGAGTCGGGCTGACCTTCTGGTACAAGAAAATGACGGGTCAGTGTCTTGTGTCGCGTGTCGGGAAGCTGGAGGGTGTCCTCGTGGAATGTCTGTTAGGGATGGGCAGGTCCAATTACCCAGTACTAGAACACCCGGATCTATCATAGTTAGTGGTGTCAGTACCGGCACCAGGTTTTCAGTACCGGTGCTTTCTTGTCATATCTCTATTTTTTCTAATATATATATTGGAAATATGACTTCTTATTAAGCTCACTCTTTGCTATGAACTGTTTTCGCTATTAAAAAAATGGAGACACGACAAGAAAGCACTGAGGTCGCGAAGAAGTACTGATACTGAGAAAGTGTTGGCACCAAGTGGTTTCGGTACTGGGAAGGTGCACCAAGAGTATTTGTACTAGGAAAGTGCTGATTCCAAGAGGTAGCGGTACTGGGAAGGTTCTGATTTCAAAAGGTACAGGTACTGCGAAGATGTTTGCTCTGGGAAGGTACTGGTACTGGGAAGGTTCTGATTCCAAAAGGTACAGGTACTGCGAAGATGTTTGCTCTGGGAAGGTACTGGTACTGGGAAGGTTCTGATTCCAAAAGGTACAGGTACTGCGAAGATGTTTGCTCTGGGAAGGTTCTGATTCTAAAAGGTACAGGTACTGCGAAGATGTTTGCTCTGGGAAGGTTCTGATTCCAAAAAGTACAGGTACTGCGAAGATGTTTGCTCTGGGAAGGTTCTGATTCCAAAAGGTACAGGTACTGCGAAGATGTTTGCTCTGGGAAGGTTTTGGCAAAAGCACCAAGATGTACCAGTTTGTGTCCACTGGGAAGGTTCTTGTAATAGATTGACTTTGATTGTCTATTACAAGCTCACAGCTGTCTATTACAAGCTCACAGCTGTCTATTACAAGCTCACAGCTGTCTAATACAAGCTCACAGCTGTCTAATACAAGCTCACAGCTGTCTATTACAAGCTCACAGCTGTCTAATACAAGCTCACAGCTGTCTATTACAAGCTCACAGCTCTAATTGAAGACATGGACGAACCCATCAAGGGTACACCTTTTTGTAAAAACGAGCAAGACACAAGACCATATGTCGGTTATTGTGCTGGTGTTTTGCTCTTTTCTCGCACTAGGAGTAGCCTGTTGTCTGTCAGTGTGTCAGTGTGTCAGTCTTTGGTGTGTCAGTGTGTCCAGTCTGTCATGTGTGGGTGGTTGGCGGAAGCTCTGGTGTGGTTTGCTTCTTCTTTCCTATCAAACATCTATCGTCTTTATCTCCCCTCCTTCTTTTTAGCGTCTGTTACTCTCTTGAAACACCTCTAATCTTCTGCACTTACATGACCTTATTGTGTTGCAAGTGCCGTAAAACTCTTACTAAAACTAAAGTCTGTCATGTGTCAATCTGTGGTATCTCTGTGTCCATCATCATCATGACCTTTGTGACTTCTGCACCCATCATCGTCACCTCTATGACCTCTGTGACCTCCGTGTTGACCCGTGTATCGTTGACTGTCCCCAGATTGCGTCATGAGCTACGTGAGAGTGTCCAGAGTGGGCTGACCGTTGGTCAAGGCATGGGGGGAGGAGACGGAGGTGTGGACGGGGAGGGGGCCCTGGGGAATCTACAGCAGCAGGTGGAGATAGCTGTGCAGGTAATGTCTCCGTAGAAACAGAACATTTCCTCTTCTTTGTCTTTAACACTTTGCCATCTCTAGACTCCTTCGGAAACAGAACAGTTACGTTTTTTTTCCTGTAACACTTTGTCTTCACAAGGCTCCTTGGATACAGAACATTTAGGGGTTTTTTGTTTTGCCATAACACTTTGAGATTACCAGGTTCCTTGGAAACAGAACATTTACTTTTTTTCTGACTTTAACACTTGGCCATCCCAAGGCTCCTTGGAAATAGAACATTTACTTTTTTTTTTTCCTGTAACACTTTGCCATGACAAGACTCCTTTGGAAACAGAACATTTACTTTTTGTTGTTGCATTTATTACTTTGCCATCACCAGGCTCATAGAGGAAAAACCCTTGCCATCAAAGAGAGAGGCAGTTTGGGGAAAATCATAAGAAATTGGGTGGTAAACATTGCCGATTGGTGATATATGACGGCAAAGTGTTAAATGAACATTTGTTGATAACTTTCACATAGATGTGCGTTTTTAAAAGACACATGACAGGTGTTGAGCCAAAAGTTGAAATAAAAAAAAAAAAAAGCCTAACATCCACAAAAATGCCAATATCTTCTGTTTAATTATTTTCAAGAGCACCTGATTTCACCACGATGCCTCACCTATGTACAGGTAATGTCTCTGTCTCTCAGATATGTACGGTTGGTTGGAGGGTGACACTGTTAGGTCCTACTTCTTCACTTTCCCTCTGTTGTTTCTGTCTGTCTGTCTTACTTTTCCCCAACACTAAATGGCCATTATTGTGTCAATGTGTTTCTCTTTACTCAAACAAACAATGTCAATTCTCTGTCTCTCCAACTTGCACATGCACTATCTCCAGGCTACTGAGTAGACTATGTCACAAACACACACACAAGTTAAGAGTAATTTTTAGTATTTTATGTCAAGGCACACACACACACACACTAACTAATACATACACACTCAAACTCACACAAACACTCACACACACACTGACACAAGATGTCAATTTCTGTGTTGTCCAGGAGAAAGATGCAGCCCAGGAAAAATGGCGAGAGGCTGCGCAGGAAGTAGATCGCTTGGAGGCGGAACTGGAGGTAGACCATAATTTTGTTGTTTCGGCTGCTTGTTTGTGTGTGTGTGTGTGTGTGTGTGTGTGGGTGTGTGGGTGTGTTGGTCCGTGTGTGTGTGTGTGTGTATTTACATATCAATGTGAGTACTTTTTGGTAACATAATTATTCTCTCAAATTTCCTGTCTGCTGTATTGATGTGATAAAGCACCATATTGCGTGCTGTTGTTTAGTGCAGAATACACTTCGCTATTTCAGAATAAATTGAGGGCAAGCGAGGCAGGGGTAGGCCCAGAACAACATACTTAGGGAACCTAAACAAATGGGTAACAGGGAAAGATCAGGGAAACGTAGCTTTTTTGAGAGCATCCGAGCAAAGGAATGAATGGAAAATCATGATCGCCGATGTCTGTCGCAGATCTGGCACTGGATGAGGATGATGATTTCAGAATTACAAGTTCTATCTGACATAGTTTTTGCCGTTCTGAGTTACTGAGACCATGAGGTCAGAAACTACACTTTCTATCTGCTCTATCAAATTCGTTACATTAATCGGGGTCATTATCGAAATAGTTGAAGAGTTGCATTCAAAACGTTTGAAATATTGTGTTATTCAAAATTGTTTATCGTCAAATTTTTCAAAAAACTAGGTACTGAGCAGAGAGAGCGTTGTAATTCTGAGGTACTGTCTTGCCAGTTCTAGTTTCTTTTAGTTTGGTCAGAGTTTAGGGGTGCTCACAGCTGGCTTTGGTCATATGAGTGCGCAACACTCATGTTGATTGTCGCTGTATACTGTATATATATATATATATAAAACAAAAGCTTTTGTACAGTGTTTGCCCCTCTCAGGGCAGTGTGACTGACTGAAGTGTCTTTAGGCCATTCTCAAAAGGGGGATATTAACATGTTCTTATGCACAGTAAAATTGTAAATGGGCTGATTTATCAATGTCATGCTCATACTGTACCTGAACAACATAGGGGGAACTGCTGCTTTTTATTTCCTCATCCTTACTGTCATCATTTTTCTTTTACTTCTTTTGTATGTTTGTCACTCTCTTGTGAACTGCTGTTTCTGGAGTGCCTTGATAATCGAAGCAGACTTTGTGCTGTTGAAGCTAGAGAGGTGAGCAGAGTAAGCCTGATTCCCTGTAAGGACTTCTCTGTTGACATCCACCCCTTGGCGCTCATATGTCATTAAGTTGCAAGTGCTATAAAAACCTTAACTTAACAAAAAGTACTGCAATATATGTTATAACAATAGGTCTTTATGCTGCAATATTTGTTCTGTCTGTATAGCTTTAGTTATAGTGTGTTAGTAAGTGTTGATATTTTTTGTTTTTACTGCTTCCTTTCGTATATATAATTAATGTATGGTTGTGAAAGTTCTTCTGTATGTGGTTGAACTGGTTTTTCTTGTTTCTGTGAAATGTTTTATCGTGTTTTATCGCTCAGTGATCATGGTTTGGTGTAAAGCGCTCAGAGCTTATTCTCGTTTGCGATAGAGCGCAATATAAATGCAATCTATTGTTATTATTTTTATTATTATTATTATTATTATTATATAATAATATATTATTATTATTGTTATAATAATAATAATAATAATTATTATTATTATTACTATTATTATTACTGTGGTGTTTGCTCTATCTGTAAACCAGTGTACGTGGGTGGTCGGAGGGTGCTGTGGTGTGGTTTGCTACTTCTTTCTCCTATCAAACATCTATTGTCCTTATCTCTTTTCCTTCTCTTTCAGTATTTGTAACTCTCTTGTAATACCTCTAATCTCCGGCATTTATATGACCTTATTGTGTTTCAGATGCCGTAAAGCTCTTACTACACTAAACTAAACAAATGTACTGCGGTGTTTTTTCTGACCTTGACCTTTCTGATTTTTCAGGTGGAAAAGGAGAGTCACCAGTGGAGGGTAGTGGAACAACAGGCGCATCAGGTGTGTGTGTGTGTGTGTGTGTGTGTCTGTGTATCTATCAATGTGTCTGTCTGTGTGTGTCCATAGGTCAAAGACTAGTACCATCTGTCTGTGTGCATCAATGTGTCAGCCTGTGTGTCTATCAATTTGTCTGTCTGTCTGTGTGTCCGTAGGTCAAAGATCAGTACCACCAGTCTGTGACGGCCCTGGGCTCTGAAGTGGAAACTCTACACACTGAGCTGAGGTGAGTGGCCCGAGGCGGTGGGTGGGTGGGTAAGGAGGTGGGTAGGTGGCCTATGGTGGGTGGTTGGTGGGTGAGTGGCCCACGGTGGTGGGTGACTGGCCCTGTTGGTGGGTTGGATGGTTTGTGTGTGGTGGGATGGTGAAGGGCTGGGGGTTGGTGGTTGGTGGGTGGTCTGTGGCTGGATGGTGGGTGGATGCCCAACTCTTACTAAAACTAAGCTAAATGGTTCATAAAGTAGGTAAATGGTAGCAAAGTCACGTCATGCAGAAACATTTATGTGCTTGGTCACAGGAGCCTGAGCTCTCGGTGCTGGTCCATGGTAGTCTCAGGGATTGTCCTTGGTTGTCTGACACGTGCGTGATTGGAGGGGGCCACTGCAGATTGTACTTCTTTTCTTTCCCTTTTTTTTCTGCCTGCCTGCCTGCCTGCCTGCCTGCCTGCTTGCCTGCCTGCCTGTCTGCCTGCCTGCCTGTCTGTCTGTCTGTCTGTCTGTCTGTCTACCGTGTCTGAGTCTGTCTGTCTGTCTATCCGGCCATCTTATCACCTTTTTTCCTGCACGAAATGACTGTAATTGTTTTCGCTGGGATATGCCTCTGCTACCTCTAACTTTAACAATAAGCTCAGCGTGATCACGTGTATTTGTTTGTGTGTCGTCAGGGAGACAAGGACAGAGAACTCCACGCTGGTGCAGAAAGTCTCCCAGCTGAAGCTGACAGTCAGCGAGTTACAGCAACAGCTGGTGTGGAAGGTGAGGTGGGGGGAGGTGAGGGTGGAGGATGGTGGGTGAAGGGGGGGAAGTGAGAGGAGGGAAAGGTGGGGTGGCAGATGGGACAGAAAGTTTTCCAGCTGAAGCTGACGGTCAGCGAGTTACAGCAACAGCTGGTGTGGAAGGTGAGGAGAGGTGGGGTGATGGGGGGGGGGGGGGGGTGAAGGGGGAGGTGTGGAGTAGGGGGATGGTGACGGGGAGGGGGGAGTGGGGGTAGTGGGGTGGATGGAAGGTGAAGGGGAGTAGAGGGATGGGTGGAAGGTAGGGGAGGGGGAGGTGAGGTGGGTTGAATGGGTGAGGAGGGTGGAAGGTCTTAAAGCTTGTTTTTTTTGTCTCAGTTTTGGTGAAATAGAAATATAATCATCTTTGTTAGATATAAGTCAAGATATTTGCGATTGAAGGTGGCGGGGGATTGCCGGGTGTCGGAGGTAAAATTTGACTGGAAAGTGGTGGCCAAAATTTGGTGACTTCCAAATGCTTGGTGTGAGTGAGGAGAGCCTCACAGATACATTCAGAAATCTGGGCATAGTCTGTGGTCTGAGGACATTGGTTGTAGCTAGAACTGACCACTAGACTGGACATGTCCTTGTCAGTGTGAAGTGACGGTTGATCATTTGATTGTGTCTCCGTGTGTCCCCAGTCGCAAGAGACGGCCGACAATATCTTCAAGGAGGGTGTGTCCGACAGCAAGATCTCCGAGCTGAAGCGAATCATGGATGAGCTGAGACACAGGTGAGTTTTACAAACAAACACACCCACATAGACACAAATACAACCACACACACACACGAGTAAGATCTCTGAGCTGAAGCGAATGATGGACGAGCTCAGACATAGGTGAGTTGTACACTCACACACACACACATGCAGGCACATACATATGACATATACGTGTCTTGTATGCGCGCCATGTATGTGTTCACCTCTCCACTAACTGTAAACAGTTTCTGTATGTGTCATGTATGTGTTCACCTTTCCACTACTGTAAACAGTTTCTGTATGTGTCATGTATGTGCTCACCTTTCCACTACTGTAAACAGTTTCTGTATGTGTCATGTATGTGTTCACCTTTCCACTACTGTAAACAGTTTCTGTATGTGTCTTGTATGTGTTCACCTCTCCACTACTGTAAACAGTTTCTGTATGTGTCATGTATGTGCTCACCTTTCCACTACTGTAAACAGTTTCTGTATGTGTCATGTATGTGCTCACCTTTCCACTACTGTAAACAGTTTCTGTATGTGTCATGTATGTGTTCACCTCTCCACTAACTTCTGTAAACAGTTTCTGTATGTGTCATGTATGTGTTCACCTTTTACTGACACATGTAAATATTTCTGTATGTGTTGTATATGTTTTCATGTACGTGTGACCCCGTTCAATGACACCCGCGTCTCCGTCTGTTCCATGCATGTGTCATGTATGTGTGAGCCCGTCCACTGACACACGTGTCTTTATCTGTTCCAGGCTGAGCGAGATGACGCAGGAGGCTGAGGAGACGAGGAGAGAGAACAACTCTCTGCACACACGTCACCGAGTTGCAGCGCCGTCTGTATGTTCTAGCCCTCCCCTCTCACACACGCACGCACACACACACACACACACACACACACACACACACACACACACACGCGTACACACACACACACATACAAAC